AACTGTCGACTCTTTCCCTTGTTTTCTCTCGCGTTTTCTGACGACTCATTCAGCTCTTACCTCTTGCCGCGGCCGTTGATCCTTGAGTACCCGGCGAACATCGAGACCCGGATCAAGGAACTCGATGACGAGACCAATTTGCGTTGCACGAGCTGGAGATTCGCGGCGGAGACGAACAATCTGGCGCCGTGGAAAACCGTTCCGGCGGAATGCGCCGATTATGTGAAGGATTACGTGATGGGTAGGGCTTACGTCATCGACCTCGAGAGGGTATCCGACGAGGCTGGGTTTTACGCAAGCAGCGTCGATCTGAGCGGCGACGGGAAGGATATTTGGGTCTTCGATATCGATGAGACCCTCTTGTCGAATCTTCCATATTACATCGAACACGGATATGGGTACATATCGGATTTTGTCCTTTCGTCTAGTTCTATGGTTTTAGACTTCTTTTGTCGAATCTTCCATCATTGGTTTTACGCTCCACTCCTTTAAGATTTGTGGATATTGACAAGAATTCGTGACAATTTGTGTGTTCTTTTACTGGATTAATTGATGCTGCATTTGGTGATTGTGAGATTTCTGTTTTGGGGAATTTTTGCAGGATGGAAGTTTTTGATCATTTGGAGTTTGATAAGTGGGTGGAGAAGGGAGTTGCACCAGCCATCGCACCAAGCTTGAAACTTTACCAAAAGGTTATAGATTTGGGGTACAAAGTTTTCTTGCTCACAGGACGCAGCGAAAGCCACCGGCTTGTCACTGTTGAGAACTTGATAAATGCCGGGTTTCAGAACTGGGACAAGCTTATCTTGAGGTGAGCATATATACCACATTCCTTCATCTATGTAGCTCTTTGATTTCTGTGTCTGAACTACCAAAACCGTAAGAATCAGTTATATGCTTGGATTGTGTAAATCTTGACTTTAAGAACTAATGCATGCAAAGCTTTGATCTTTAGAGGTTCTTTTAACCGGGAAATCGATTCTGATAAGAGGGTCACTACTTGCTTCCGTTTTCATTCTGATATCTGGCAAAATGCAATACGCAGATCTTCGGAAGAGAAAGGGAAAACCGCGACGGAGTACAAATCGGAGAAGAGGGAAGAGATGGTGAAAGAGGGATACAGAATCAGAGGCAACTCAGGTGATCAGTGGAGTGATTTGCTGGGTTCCTCCATGTCTCAACGTTCCTTCAAACTTCCAAATCCAATGTATTACATCCCCTAAGCTATTGTCTCAGGCGTAGATAAAAACTTGCAGGGCAGTCGAGTGTGTTTTTTTGCAGTTCTGTTGCCTTGGAATACAAGTAACGATGAGTGCAAGTGAATCTGTTCACAAGTCCTCATCGTTCTGTGGATGATGACGATTGATTATTTTATTGGTGTGTGATGATGTTGAATGTTTCATACATAATCTGCTTCCTTGGGGAAGAAGTTACACAACATCATCATCCAAGGGCATGCAACAATATTAACTTCAGAGGAAATTTGAGGAGAAAGGAATTTCGAAGGATTGAAAAATGCTTCTCTCATTTACTAAGGAAGAATTACAAGGGTATTTATACAGCAAATGAAATGCTCTAACAACCTAGAAATGCAAAAATGGTGTAAAACAGAAAGAATATTCACCGTAACAAACTAGCTATACACAGTCATGTACATATAGACGGAACAGAGAGCAACGGTGGGTTGCAGAGCAGAGGAGCGCCAACTATAACGGTAACCAGCAGCATAAGTTGAAACTCCCCCTCAAGATGGAGAAAACACATTGTGTATTCCCATCTTGGATAAAAGATGATGAAACAGATCCCCTGCGACAGCCTTAGTAAACAAGTCAGCAAGTTGATCTCGTGAATGAACATGTAAAGGCCGAAGAAAACCGCTCTTAAGGTGATCCCGAATGAAATGGCAGTCAATTTCTATGTGTTTCGTGCGCTCATGAAACACGGGATTATTGGCGATTTGTATGGCCGACTGGCTGTCCGAAAACAGAGTAACTGGTTCAGGAACCCGAATCTGTAGCTCCTTCAATAAGGCTGATATCCAAAGAAGTTCAGAGGTAGCTTGAGCCATGGCTCGATATTCTGACTCTGCACTGCTACGAGAAACTGTCTTCTGCTTCTTGGACTTCCAGCTAATCAATGAGTCCCCGAGAAACATACAAAAGCCAGATATGGACTTTCGAGTATCAGCGCATCCTGCCCAGTCAGCGTCTGTGTAGCCACTCAATCGAATTGAAGGTGCAGAAGAGAAGAGTAGACCCTGCGAAGGTGCACTTTTGATGTATCGAAGAAGTCGATAAGCAGCATCGAGGTGAGCTGTTCGTGGGGCAGACATAAACTGGCTGAGCTTCTGGACAGGGAAAGAGATGTCTGGCCGAGTCACTGAAAGGTAGATAAGTTTCCCCACCAACTGGCGATACATCTTAGCATTAGGTAGAAGCTCCCCAGAATCAGCAGCTAGTTTAGATTTGGGATCCATAGGAGAAGAGCTGGGTTTGCACGCCAACATGCCAAATTCCTCTAAAAGTTCCAGGGCATACTTCCTCTGGCAAATGTGAATTCCTCGACCAGAACGTGCTATTTCAAGACCGAGGAAATATCGCAGAGTACCCAAATCCTTCATCGAGAAATGCGAGCAGAGAAAGACTTTTGCTGCAGTGATTAGTTCCGAACTGTTGCCAGTAATCATCAAATCATCAACATATACCAATACGGCACAAAAATCTGATCCCTGATGTTTGAAAAACAAAGAATTGTCAGAGTGAGATTGCGAGAAACCTCCAGAAAACAGAACCTCGGAGAGTTTGATGTTCCATTGACGAGAAGCTTGTTTCAACCCATACAGAGACTTGCGCAGTCGACAAACAGAGTTCGTGGGAATGGACTCCCCCTTGAGTTCGGCATATCCAGGAGGAAGCTTCATGTAAATCTCCTCAGAAAGATCACCATGCAAGAAGGCATTTGACACATCTAACTGGTGTAAAAACCAGTTTTGTGAAGCCGCAAGAGCAAGCAAAATCCGGACGGTTGTCATTTTGGCCACAGGGCTGAAGGTATCCAGAAAATCTATGCCCTCTAGCTGCGAGTAACCCTTGGCAACCAATCGGGCCTTATGTTTGTCAACAGAACCATCAGCCAAATATTTCACCTTATAGACCCACTTGCACCCTATAGGAACCTTATCAGGTGGAAGGGGACAGATATCCCAGGTCCCATTGCGAATCAGAGCATCGAGCTCGTGAAGCATAGCAGTTTGCCATGTATCAGATGTTGCAGCCTGCTTGTATGAGCGAGGTTCAGGGTGTGTGGTGATAGAAAGGGAAAATTGGCGAAAAGAAGGATGAAGAGAGGTATAAGAAAGAACAGAACAAAGAGGATAAGAAACAGAGGCTGTTATAGGTGGAGGAGAGTGATGATTAAGATAGTAACAGTGATAGTCCGAGAGGTAACTGGGGGCGTTTGTCCTACGTTGCGATCTCCGATTGTTATCTGAGGGAGGTGGTGAGGGAGAAGGATCTGAAGAGAGACTAGGTTGAGCAGGAGGTAAAATAGGAGCAGGAGGAGGAGACTCAAATAAAAAATAAGAAGAGGGCGTTGTCGGGAAAAACTCGATGGTAGAGGAAGGTATCTCAAGTTTAGAAAAGGGAAAAACTGACTCATGAAATATGACATTACGAGAGACAGAGACCACATTAGTGGTAAGATTCAATACCTTTTATCCCTTCATACCAGGTGGATAACCAATAAAAACATGAGGGGTTGCTCGAGGAGAAAACTTGTGAGTATGTCTCGGGTTAGAAGAGACATAACACAGGCAACCAAATGCTTTTAAATGGGCATAGGAAGGCTTGATACTGGTAAGAACCTCAAAGGGAGATCGATTGGCCAAAAGAGGAGTGGGAATACGATTGATTAGGTAAACAGCTGTTTGAATGCACTCAGTCCAGTATGATAATGGTAGATTGGATTGAAAAAGGAGGGATCTGGCCACATTCAAGATGTGTTGGTGCTTCCTCTCAACAACGGAGTTTTGCTGAGGGGTGTAGGGGCACGAACGAAAGTGGACCAGACCCTTATCAGATACCAGAGAAGGAAAAGCTAGTTCATGAGCATTGTCAGATCGAAAAGATTTAACGACAGCTCCATATTGGAGAGACACATGCTGCAGAAACTGAGGAAAAAGAGTAAGAGCATCACTTTTATTTTTAAGTAGGTAAACCCAAGTCACCCTAGAACAATCATCGACTATAGACAGGAAGTAACGATGTCCAGACACAGAACAAACGTGAAAAGGACCCCATATGTCGAGATGAACCAGCTGAAAGGGTGCTGAAGATAGCTTCCCAGAATCAGGGAAGGGAAGCTTCCGTTGTTTGGCGAGTGGACAGATGGAGCAAGGAGGTAAGTGCTCTTTGGAGGGTGTGAAGTGAAGCTGGGATGATTTTCCAAGGGCTTGGACACGGAGATACGATGGGTGACCCAGGCGGATGTGCCACAGATCAAGTGATGCTGAGGAGGAAATGGCAGTGCACAGACCAGACGAAGAAATAGAGGAAGAAGATCCATGCACATTGAATAGGTAGAGATTTTGGTGTAGGTTACCCTTCCCAATCATCAAGGCCCGAGTAGGGTCCTGGATGGTATAAGAATCACGAGAAAAAGAGACAACAAAAGGAGTAGATCTCGTTAATGCACTGACACTCAACAAATTAAAGTGGAAAGAGGGAACGTATAAGACAGGGTGAAGGGTGATTAAAGGAGAAAGAAGAATCTTACCAGACTGAGTGACAGAAATTGAGGTGCCATTTGGTAAGGTGATATGAACAGGTGAGATGGTATGTAATTCAGAAAACAATCGAGAATCGCAACATATGTGACTACTTGCCCCGGTATCCATAACCCATATATGTCGAGAATGTGAAACAGGGTGAATGAGAGAGGAAACAAAATAATCAGGAAAATAGGTACCTGGTGAAGGAGAAGAGGGGGTGGGGTCAGCTGCAACATTTGAATCGGAGGCAAAACCACCAAGCTCCTTAAGCTGAGTCTGAAAACGATCGAAGAGGACCTGAGCTTGTGCCATGGGAGAAGAACCAGAGACATGTTGCGGCGTCGTAGGAGTGTTCACACCAACCAAGTTGACAGCAGCATGTTTCTGATCAGAGTTTTGCTTGCCAGGTGTAGGGAGCAGACCGGGTTTAGAGGAGCGCGATCCAGGGGGGTAGCCATGAATCTGATAACAGCGAGCAACCGTGTGGCCTTGCATACCACAGTGGGTACAGTAGGGCCGAGACTTAGAAGAACGAACAAACCGTTGCTTAAAACCAGCAGCAGCTTGGAAGGCCACGGGATCCGAAATCATGGGTAGAGCCAACCGTTGATGATCCTCTTGAGTGATCATACTAAAAACTTTGGAAATGTCAGGAAGTGGATCCAACATGAGGATCTGGCGACGAGCTAGATGAAAGGACTCATTGAGCTTCATTAAAAACGAACAACATTCTTCTTATCCAGATATTCAGTTAACCGATCAGCAGAATCACAAGAACAGTTGCCACAATTACAAACGGGTACAGGATCATGCATCTTCAACTCTTCCCAGAGATTGTTAAGCTTAGTGAAAAAAGTATTGAGGTCCAGAGATCCTTGTTGTAACAACTCGATTTGATGTTCTATGTGGAATATCTTGGAAGAATTCTTCTGTTTGTAACGAGTTTCTAAAGTGAGCCATTTCTTTCGAACATCATGGATGTAGATGATTGAAGTTTTAACTTCAGCAGTAACCGAGTTATTAATCTAGGTTCCAACCAGAGCATTACATCTCAGCCAAGCACCATAATCAGCACTAGATTCAGGGGGTGGAGGGATAGTACCCATGATGAAGCCTAATTTATTCTTCGCAATGAGTATTTGAATGATGGATGTCGCCCAGATGTTGTAGTTTGACTCATCAACAAGTTTGTCTGTCACCAGGGTGAGGCTCGAAGAATCCGCAGCATGGAGGTAGAGAGGATTGGAATACGGGTCGAGAGAAGCAGGAGGACCAGCATCCGGAAGAGTAGATTCATGGTCAGAATCAGAAGACGCCATGAGAGAGAACAGAATCCCAGAAATAGGATCGAAAGAGAAGAAGACGGGAGAAAAAAAAAACCAGGAGAGAAAAAATTATCTCTCTGATACCATATTAACTTCAGAGGAAATTTGAGGAGAAAGGAATTTCGAAGGATTGAAAAATGCTTCTCTCATTTACTAAGGAAGAATTACAAGGGTATTTATACAGCAAATGAAATGCTCTAACAACCTAGAAATGCAAAAATGGTGTAAAACAGAAAGAATATTCACCGTAACAAACTAGCTATACACAGTCATGTACATATAGACGGAACAGAGAGCAACGGTGGGTTGCAGAGCA